TGAAGCTGCCCCTGAACATATGGGTGCCACACAACAGGCTTACAGTGATCACCATTTGTTTCAAAACTTTGAGTTCACCCTGCACCACAGTGACACAGAATTTTCTTTTTGAGGCAATGTACAAGTCTACAATTTGCTTAACTGCTTTACACCAGATCAAATAAAGAGGAAAAGAAAGAGGTGCTGTGTTTCAATATCAATATTTGTCTCTAAAGTTACATTTAACACCAACAATATGGATTTTTCCCAGTTAACCAAATTTTAAAATATCCGTATTTGTGTATCTGAAGCAAACCATACTTGTCAGTCTTAGTGCAAAAAGTCTTGTGATGAAAGAGTTGCCTCAAGGGCTGTTACTTTCCAGGCCCCCTACCTTATACCCTATTTACAAGAAAGGAGATCAAGTATAAAAAGTGCACACTGCCACAGCAGTCATTCAACACCAACAGCAGCAAGCACTTGCTGAGGACTGACTAGCATAATTCTGCATGGTTGATGGCCATTATCATCTATTATTTAGATACTAGAGCTTTTATTTGAATTCGAAGCCATAATATTACCAGAATTTCAATCTCAGACTGGTAGAGTCTGTGGACATTTTAAGAAGAAGCCAGCTGAGCAAAACAGACGTAGAAGAGGAAAAAAAAAAAAAAAAAAAGAAGTAAAACTGAAAATCCCCAAGGGATGGGAATCAATCACAACAGTAACATTATTTGAGAACTGCAATACACACACAAAAAAAAAAATAAAATCAATAAATCATATTTTCTAGTTTGACATCTCAGTCTGACATTTTAACTTTCTGAAAAGTAACCGAAATATTCTTATCTCTACAGTGGTAACAATGGGATCTAATTTCCACTGTTTAGAAAGAGACTCACCAGCTAAAAAGAGATTCAGTGCTTATTTAGTACAACCTCCAAACTATCCTATCTCCAACTTGAATATAGTACAGCTGGAAACGTCTGCCTGTTTTAGAACAGTATCAGCAGCATAAGTCTAGTCTGGCTAAGACATTTGCAGTTAATATATCACTGTTTTAAAAGCTTGACCATCCCATTCCTAATGTATTTTTCTTGAGTGATAAAATTTAACTGGGTAATTTTCAACATAACTACTGTCAAGGTTTAAGTATTTCTGCCCAAGTCTGCTACATTCCACCCTAAACTAAAATTTTCTTTTCGTATGCCAAAGGCAAAAAGTGCATTACAAAGTTCGTAAGTTATATTTTTTCATACATCAAACTTGTCTTCAGTTTTTATTATATCTAAACCTAAAAAAAAAACTAATAGGTAACATATATGAAATCTTGGACACTTAAAGTCAAAATTCAACTCTTCTCACCAGAATTAGCTGCCTTTTTTTTTTTTTTTCTTTTAAGGAATTAAAGGAGTCCCTAGATTCTAAAGTTACACTGCTTTTCAAAAAGCTAATGCCAGCTCTGCTCATATTTTATTGGCTTTTTTTAAACCATGTAGTAAGACTGTGATTTTAAGATACGTGATAAGCATACAAACTGGAAACTAAGACTTCAAAATGTGAATCCTAAGGAGGAAAAAAAAAAACAACAAACCACAACACAATTTCCAAACCACTTCTCAGAAGCAGCTAAAAATCACATTGCAAAAGGCACCATCCAAGACCCAGAGAGCAGACAGGAAGATCTGAAAGTCTTAATAATCAAATCTATACCAATCAGCATAATAGATTTGATGGAATTAACAGCATCGCAACAATGATGCAAAAAGACAAACTATGCAGGAATTGAAGGCAGAAGAAAAGACAAAAGAAGCTATTTATTCACATAATACAGCTGAGAAAGTTTTATTTGATGTCCACAATGTAGTAGAAAACAGATCTGATGAAAGTTCTGAAGTGATAAATGAGGAAAGAGGGTGGGAAAAAAAAAAATTGAAGGAAATCACACAAAACAGGGTACAGCTCTACTGTAAATTGAAGCTTACAGATCAGAAAAAAAAAAAACCAAACTAGCTCTTCAAATTTAAAGAATTTGAAACAACAACAACAAAATACATATTTTCCTCTTAATGTAATAGAAAATTCAAAGCATAATCAATTATTATTTCTTCCACGTAAGCAAAGAGAGCTTGTAGTTTCTAAAATTAATTAGAAAAACCTGCCAGTGCTTTTTAAACATAATAGCACAGATGCAACCTCCAGTTAGGGGGTGGGGAATCATTAGTGAACTGCCAACTCTTAGAAACAAGGTAAAGAGTGTTTGCCATTCTTCCATTTTTGGAACTGCTAACAGGACTTTGAGCTTGCTTGATCATTAGTTGACTCATTATGGCATTTTTTATTACAGGGAAGCCTAAGAAAATAATCCAAAAATCACTTGCTGTCAGTGAGCATTACTTGGATAATCTCTCAGGGAAGGAACATATACCTAAAATGTCCCCAGTGACCTGTATTGGAGAAGCTCTACATACAAATAGTGATTAAAAAAGAAGGAAGTTCAAGAGTACTAAAGCTTGCAAGACAATTTCCTCCATTTCCAGTACTGCTGACTGACTGATCCCAAACAAGTTTAAATATTGCCTCAAATTATTCACCTGACAGGTACTTTTCTGTTATTTCATTGCTCTCTAGGAAAGCAGGAAGTCCTATGTAGAACATAACATGTGGAGAAAAAAATTGCTTGTTAGAAAGATGAGCCATTAACTACATACTCTTTATTTATCTTAATATGCTGTTTCTTCATTATTAATTGTAGTTTTTACACACTTGCAACTTTCTTTCACACAATATTCTGGAAGCATGTCATGGCTAAAGTGAAAGACATTGAAACAATGACAACGCATACAAGCACAGAAAAACTACCATTAAAATAAAAAAACCTGTGGAAAAACAACATTAAACCCCCCTTATCTTAGTATAAACTTTAACTATACAGTATACATTGCTAAAATATCTTTAATAGATGGCCTGCAACCTGTAATATGCCACTAGATGGCAAGTTTGGATAGAAATTAGCTAATTTTTTTTGTTCATGGCATGTTTGAAAATTTGAGGTGCACAGCAAAGAAACAACCATGAAAGAAGAGTGAAGGAGGAGAAGAAAAAAGGAAGAGTTCAATAAATTACAAGTCTTCTGCATGGAGTACATTTATCAGTAGTCAAAAAGGTTAAATGAGTTTTAGTTTTGTTTCCACATCTGTCATACAAATAGACAATGAATTCTTATGAATTTACTGCTGACATACAGGGAAGAATCCAAGGTCTGGAGGAAGGCTGAGAAGGGAAGCAGCAGAGTTAGGTCTTGGGAAAGCAGACTTGAGCTTATACAAGGAATTGCTAGTTAGGATTCCCTGGAAACCAACCACAAAGGGGTTAGAGGTACACAACACATATATAGGAAGAGGAGGAGGAAGCTGGGTTCATTCAGTAACTACTGTAACAACCTGTAACTACTTAAGAAAGTTAAAAGAATGACAAAGAAATGCTTCTGCATAGTGACAGACTATAAAATAAAGCATCTACAGCCATAAACTGCAGCTTGAGAGGCTCAAGCTGGACATCAGGAAACAAAATTCAGTAGAATGGTAGAGCAGCACTGGAATAGGTTGCACAGACAGGCTGTAGCATGTGCCATTGGTGGTTTTCAAGATTCAAACAGACAAAGGGCATGGCTGACCTGATCTAGCATTGGCAACAGCCTTGCTTCAAGCAGGAGGCTGGGTAGAAGCACTTCCAATAGCATTTTCAAAACTGTACAGTGGAGGTGTATCTGGCAGAGTCTGGCACACATGAAAGAGCAACCATTCAAGGGGAATTAAAAAAAAAAAAAAAAAAAAAATCTCTCTGCATTTTGCCTAATTTTGGTCAATTGTTACATCGAATCTGAGCTGCTATACTCAGTTGCTACTGACTCACCTGTCATACAATGAAGTCACACATCACATATTTGCAATCTGTAAATCGTACAATGCTTATCATACCCATCTTCTGTATTAATAAACAGTGTTTTCAAAAGTACAATCAAAATCTAAAAGTATCATCCAAATTATTTAAAAACATTCAGGTGCGATATGTCACTTTGTTCATTGATTGATCCAGTAGCCAAAAATGGATGCTATATATGATACTGCTGAAAACAGGCATCCAAGGGGGCATTTCTATAGTTGAGTTTCCCTAGAGACAGACATTTCTGTGCTAACATAAGGGTGGTACAGAAAAGGAGCAGGAATCAGACAAGCATGCTAAGAGCAAGTAGTGACAGCACTGTATGGGTTGGAAACAACAATCTCAGAAAACCTAAGTAGCCTGTATTGCTTTTTAATCACCACTGCTTCACCCCTTCAGATCAATATAAAAAGGTTTTCATGTATTTTAAGTCATGTTTAAAAAAAAAAAAAAGTTAAAATTAGTGTTTTATATGTTCTTCACAATTCTTCATAGTAGTGTCTCAAATTGAGAAGTCCAGAATAGTCAGCTGAAGTTATTCTGAAGTTACAAGAAGTTATTCTATTTCCAGGAAATATTACAGCATCCTCAGGAATAAACCTCTTCATTGTGTAATCACACACTCTTCCCTACTCACTCAGGTCTTTCAGTTTTGGTCTGCCACATCCATAATTTGGGTCTGATCTTTTGTTGCCAGTCTATACAGAACTTTCTACATTGTTTTAAAATAAAAACAAATCCTGTCTTTTAAATCAGTTCTTTCTGTAGCTAACCACAGCCTTGTGTTTTGATATTGCAGAAACATGCAAGTAAGCATAGGAGTTCTTAACAGAAATATAGCAAATATATCTGAAAATTTAACCCTGCACAATTTGCCCATGGTTAAATTCAAAACTAGTACTAGCAGGTAACAAAATAGTGACAGAGTAGAAATTAAACATTTTGCTTACCTGTAAAACATATGTAAACCTCTCCAAACAAAAATACCACATAAGAAACAAGGTGTATTTCAGTGAACACTGAATTTGTCTTGTAGGGTAAATCTCAAGCAACTGAAATGTAAGCAGAAGCCTTACCTCATCAGAAGAGAGAACGTAAATAGGTGATAACATAGGAATTTCACTTAATTCACAACTCAAGCCAAGTGATATCAGGATGTCCTTGAGAACTTCGTATCTCTTGGTATTGCTTAACTTAAGTAAATTAAAATCCTCTTCAGTTTGGACATCCATAGAATTGATATCCAGTTCCAAGTGTGCCTGGCAGGATACGAGCAAAGAGAACAAAAAAAAAAAAGTTATTTTGTTGGTATTACACATTTTAGCATGGCAGAGAGACGTAAGAACAACAGTTCCAAAAGGAGCTTTGTCCTGACTGTGGTTGCTGAACTATCCAGTGCTACTAGTGTGATTTAAAAGTTTCTCATGTCTTCATTACATCTACACAACTAGGGCTTTATTATCCTAATAAAACAGGGAATACCTATATATTTACAGTTTCTGATTCAGGGGTCATAGTTGCCAGTACACTATGATTTTCTCCGAAACCTACACAAAATATCCCTTCTTAATAAACTGGTCTTCTCCTGGAGGAGTTGTTCAAGCTTGTATTTACTAACTTAAACTTCTCCATCTGCTTTTCATGTCTGCTAGCAACCTAGAACCAAGAGCAATAGCGGTCATGTTCTGGCTTGTACAAGAGCAGAATCACATTACAACTGAATGAGTTTTATCAGAGGTTGCACAAGATAGGAAGAACTCAATCTGAGCAAGTCCTTGCTGTGCCACGTGAAGCAAGTTGCAATCAGTGCAGATAAAGAAATGCTTCTGTCTGAAAGAGAACAAAGAACCCCAGAACACCACTTTGCAGAGAATCACTTTTCAAGGCTGAAGCAGATGCTTAAAAATAGAAATGAAATGTAGGGGGGGGAAATCCCGTCTAGACCTCCTTTTTTTGTGGGGTTTTTTGTGTTTGGTGTTCTTTGTGATTGTTCTGTTTGGTTTTTTTAAATAAGTGTTCCAAGATATTTAGAAGCCTTTGTACCCTACTATATGTATATTCATTTAATGAAAATCACAATCTGTTTTCTTTGTTCATTTCTCCAATTTTGCACAATTTAATGACGTTGTTCATCTTTCATATATGACCAACTTTATTGAAATTCAGGGAAATACACTGAAACAGGGAAGGGGAACAACAGAAGAGTACAGAGAAAAAGGGAAACAACAAGGCTGTGACAGAATATTTAATGGTTGATGTCACTGTCAGTCCCCTGAAGAGAAAACAATAAGGCTTTTCAAATCCAGACTGGAAGTCATTTAAAATTAGAAAATGACACACTAATCCTTTTAATCTGATTTTTGAAGCTATCCTGTAATGCCCTTTTTCTAGGGAAAACCTCTGCAGTATTAAGTTTTACTACAGTAGAAAGGTCAATTTAAACGGTAGAGCAAAGCAGGTTTTACCATGGAACTTGCGGAAATGGATAGCAACAGTATCTAATCAATTTTCTAGTACAAGCATACAGCACATGGGTGGCAAAGCTTCCTGCATAAAGCTATAAACATGCTACTATGTATAACAGAGTTCCCCAAAAGCTAGCAGATCTAATCTGATAAACTAGTAAGAGCCAAAAACACTTTCAAGAAAGCTGATAAATATTTCTGAATTACGTAATTGCTAGAAGAGCGCATGCTACCTGATATGTGAGCAGTTAAATTTGAGTGCTCTGGGCTCCTGAGAAAATTCTCCTGTAACTAAAATATTGTTAAAAATAGGCCCTAGAATCTTTCATAAAGTTTGTTCAGCTATGTCTCCATCATATTCCTCATCTGCTTAAATACTGGTAAATAAATCTTGCTCTGCTTTTCTCAGTTTGCTGCTTGAAAGCAAAGACAGAGTAAGGGAAGCGATACAATTGTGAACAGTCATGCTAAAAAGAAAATGTTTACCTCTGCTCCTACCGAGGCTAGCCTAAAACATGCAAGTTGCCTTCAGGCTTGCTTTAGAAGCTTTAGCTATGAAAAGGCTGAAATCTCCATAGATTTAATAGCACAGGTTATACAGACAGATAGGTGCGTACTTCTGGGGCATAGATTTATTTTCTAAACTTAATAGTACCTCTGATCAGCCTTTCTGTCACTCAAAACTTTAGCCAGATATCTGTGAATATTTAAATCATCAGTGACCAACATTTACCTTTAACACAGTCATGGAAACTTCCTCACCCATTATCCAGGAAGAGAGAGAGTAACAATAACAAAAAAAAATATTATAAACACTTGAACCTATCTGTTGTTTAAGTTTTTGAGAGGGTGTAAGTTTGTTTGGTTGTTGTTGGGGTTTTTCGTTTGCTTTTTTTTTAAACAGAGATCACAATACTGTTACACCAGAGAGGTAGCTATTTGCTGGAATATTATTAATCTTAAGTGGAATGAATAAGATTTTGGCTTATTCTAGACTTCCCCACTTCTGTTCCCCAGGTGCTCCAAGCTATTTGTTAGGTCCAGAATGTTAAATATTTAAAAGTTTAGAGCATGAAGGAAGACTCAAAAAACAAAAAAAAGCACGTTTCCAGCAGACTACATTTTCCCCTCCATAAAAGACAGGAGCTTATATTACCAACTGAAAACATGTCAAGGTTTAGGAAACAAAAAACAAGTTTTAGAATTTTAATTCTGATAGTAAGCAGGAAAAATGCATTCCAGTTGAATAAATAGGTTTTTTAACCAAACAGCTAGGCCAACATTATGAACCTAATATCCATCTAGAAATTAGCCTTAATCAAAACACTGCTAAAGAAACCATAACATGGTTCACTTAATTCACAACACCAAGATACAAACAGAATACAACTGAGAAAACAGTAGCAATACTAGCAAGAAAAGAACGAACAGACCTAAATCCGCAATGGCATTTCAGTGCAGTAGTGTAGTCACTTGCACAAGCAAAAATTGTACAGCAGTTTTTCTAGACATGGCATGCAACAAGTCAGAGGCCGAGACTTGCTCTTTTACTCGCCAGACTTCCAGAAGTGCTGGCTACCTTAACCTTAAACCTTAAGGGGAGATGTCTTTCAAGTTTCTTGCAAGGTTTATTTTACATCCTCTCCCAACTCTCTGCTTCACCATAGTTTGTATTTTTGTAAGGATGTACCTTTTTTTATCCTGCCAGTATACGCTTTCACCCTGTGTCCATCAACAATTCAGCTCTTCCTGTTACCACCTCCCCAAATCTGCAAAATGCACAGCTGTACCACTGCACAACTTCTAGCAGGCAGAAGAGGACAGCTCTGCTCTTGAAGATGTTTGCCAACTATGTAAAGCTGCTCTCTCCTCTTGCACAATCTACATGTGCCCAGCTACACAGTGAAAACAAAGAAGTGGAACAGCAGTGACATTCTCTACCATTCTCTAAGTTTCCCGGGGATCAAGTGAAAACCATTCTGCATTCAGAGTCCTTGTACATTCACCGAGACATCAATCCATACTTCCCCTTGACAAGCATCCCCCAGAGCATGCAATGGGAACAAGTGAACTTTTTTGGCATACCACCACACCACGTAGTGATGAACAAATTAATGCTTCTGCATACATGGTACCTGAGAAAGAATGGCTTCTCCTCCACTGCTTCCATGAATCAGATGAACAATAACTGTATCTTTATCGGCATTATTTAACCGACTCAGTATCTTCACTTTGCTGGTGTCTTCCTTCATCACTTCCTCAAAAATATAGCCACTGACCAAAAGATTTAACTTAATTTCAGTGCTGTCCATTTTAGACACCACTAACTCATGAATAGTCTTCTTCAGTTTGCTTTTTCTCTTTATTTGTATGCCATCAAATGTAAAAGACGAAGAAAAACTCAGAATCTTTCCACCTTTAGATAAAAACTTCATAAATTGTTTGTGGTTCTCCTCAGAAATAGGCTCCCCTGTGGCAATGATCAACAGCAGTGAATTATCAATCCATGGAGCTTTCAAAACTTGTTCCTCACGCAGGTGGTAGATGGTGTAGCTGTCTGTATCGATGCATTCCTGAAGGATTGATTTTACCTGCTCAAATTCCACTTTTGCAGTTTCAGAGCCAAGATAAATCAATATATTAGGGGGCTTTCCAGCAAGGTTTACTCTCTTTATTCCTCTTGCTAGACAATCATTACTCTTCTCTTCCAGTTTGCTACTGCAATTATCAGAAAGTTCTGGAATGTTTTCTGTAGAGGCAAATCTGACCGATTCAATAGTGCTGTTTTCAAGTTGCAGGCATTCATGACAGCTGGAAAGATGCAAGTGATGATGTTCTCCAGCACCTATCTCTTTGTCAGATAGACTGCTGGATTCATCTTCACACTCACTTTCTTTCTCTAGCTTGGATTTCTCCTCTTCACCTTGTCCTGCAGACTCAGCTACTCCTAATCCCGATTTAAGAGTAGTCCCAGAAGTATCAGCAAGAGTTACTTCACCTATTTGTGTGCTGCTTATGCTTCGCTCTTTCACAGATGGTGCCACCTGTGCCAACTCCTTCAGAGTAGATTCTGGTAAATGGACAGCTGGAAGAGTTAAAGAATAAGAAAAAGGGGTTATAAAAATGATATTGAAAGAGCTATGATGGATATCACTACCACAGCAGGATTTCAATTTAATTTCAGTACAAATCATCTATAATAGCAAGAATTTCACTTGTTTGCTACACCATATCCTAACCCCTGCCCCAAGAACATAATACACTTGTAACACAAGTCATTTGTTTCAGCAAAGTCTGCCGGAGAGCACAACACTCCATACTTACAGGAGACATTTAAACAAGCTAACATTTATTGTGAGCGCAAAAACATTTGCACAAAAGTAAAACATGATGCTACTGTACACCATGGAGATGTGTTCTTAACAGAAGAGTCTACAGGCGGAGAGGTGAGGAAGTTCTCGTAAATGCCTCACCTTGTCAGCTTGTTATTTTGCTTGTCCCTCTGCTCCCAGCAAAGTACAAAATGAAGCAAGGGAAGTACCTTTGGAAAAATATTGGTCTCTCAGGGAGGGCAGGGTGGAAAATTGCTTGCTTCTATTTTGAAATAAGCTAATAAAATTATGACATTGGGTGAGATGGAGACATTGAACCATGTCTCTTTCATTGCTGAGGGCTGCAGGTAAAAGTTTGGCAGAAGTAAAACAGAGCAAAAAAGAATCTGAACTGCTTTAAGCCTGCAGAAAGGGAGACATACCCACTCACAGGGTGACATACCCACTCATACCAAGACCTGGGAGCTAAGAATCTGAGGGAAAACTAGCAAATAGGAAGAACTGTTAAACCTTCCCCTTTCTCCCCCTGAAAAGGAGAGAAATACAAAGATACAAAAATCTCTGGCAAATATAAGTGAGAAAAGAAGGGCAAAGATTATTATTGTCAGCATGAAACTTGCAGTGCAAACTAAATAAGAAAGAGGAGGGGAAAAAAATACTCTTCATAGGTAATTTTTTTTCAGCTGCTGAGCCATGAAAATATTTCAAATCAAAGTCTGCAAAATTTTACTGAATCCCTCTCCACTACCCTAAATAAACTTACTAAGTTTTTGTTTCTGATTTCTCAAAGAAATTCAGTGAGAAACTTGATTAACAAAATAGTCAACTGGCACACAATACACCAGATCTAAGTTCAGTCACTTAACAATACTTGGATTCCCTTGAAACTATATCCCCTTCACCTAGTTTGGAGCAGAAAATTGAAGAAAGATTTTTTTCACATCATCAAATTCAGTTAGCAATGACACCACCCTCCTTCCCTTCTCCCTGTTTAGAAAGCATCCATGAACTTTTACTGATCCAAAGGATTAAGATGCCCAAGCTGAGCACAATTCCTGTGTTTAGCGTTGAATACACTTTTATTTCAAATCTGAAAAGAGAACATTTGCTTAAAACCTTATGGTTTTTTTTTTTTCACATAGATTAACTAATCTAACAGACAAGACTTGCAGAAACATATTTTCTAACTTCACCTTTGTGACATGTATACATTCATGTTTTTGCAAAAGGTTAAACACCATCTTGGGGACTTGGAGACCTCATAATACTAAGCTTAATTCTTCACAGTAATTTATGAGGCATTAAAGAGAGAGTTTTATTAAAAAAAAAAAAATCTTTTGATCCACTTATCTGTTATTTTTGTTGTTGCATTTGTAAGACATTCCATAAAGAAGCTCACTCAAAAATTGGTCTTTTCTAAACATCATGCCAAAATAAAAGCATCAGTTTTTATGCAGGTATAACAACTATATGCACAGTCCTAAAATGACCATGAAACAAACATGTTCAACCATGAAAAACAATTTGTGAAGATACTTACAAACAATCTTGTGTGGCACCATTCCGTTATCCATTTCAAGCCTGTCTTCCATGAATGCTATTCCAAGGTTACTGAAATTATCTACACTTGCTTCAGCAATTAACTTATAAGGCTCACCAGGTTTATAAGCCAATGGTGAACAATAGTCTGACCACTTCACAATCTAGAATAAAGCATATGCATGTTTTTTAGTTTAAAAAGGTTACAGAAAAATACCAAAAGACCAACAGTATCATGAGTCTGCAACATGAACTGCAAATAAAAACTGCCCTTCCTTCCCAAAGGATTCTGCTATTAAAAAGCACAGCACAACAGTAGGCAGAGCCAATAGAGGGACATTATCAAATCAAAATGGCACAACTGGCAAACCCTGGAAGTAATTTTAAAGAAAGTACAAAAAAAAAAAAAAAAAAAAAAAAGGTGTAGCTACTAGGATTACAGTACACTAAATTGGCAGAATCACTTTTAAGACTTGTTTCTGTGATGCCTGATGTGTTTAAAACAACTACTACATTTAATAGTATCATGAGACAACACATCTCAACTAAAGAAGGCTTTCAGTTGACATTTCCTTTCACAGAAAAGTGCACCCTTCACAACTACAAAGGTCAATGTATGAGACTGAATACAACCAAAAGAACCTACTGAGGAAGGGTTGTGTAGCAAGCAGTACCTGCTACAAGATTCAGTCCTGAGAGAATTAAACAAAGCAACATCCACACTAAGTGCTGAAAGCAAACTGGGAGTACAAATACATCTTTCCCAAAGATAGAGGCTATAAAAGCTTCAGGTAACACACAAAATGGCAGGAAAGCATTATCACATTCTACAAGTAAAATTCTGTTCATGTTTATTCCCAAGACATGACTTTCAGCACAAATTCTAAAAAAGAATACTGATAAAAAGTGCAAAAGTAGATTATATGTAGTAGCAAAAATAGTAGCAAAAGAGCAAAACTAGAGTTCAATAAAAATACACATTGATTATCAGAAGCATCAACTAAACACAGAAGATTCAAGCTGCTTAACTACATCAAAAATCTGTTCTCCAGAAAAGAAGCGTTATGGAAGTGATACATTTGAGTTTGTTTTCTTCAAGAAGATTTGTTAAACCCAACTACACAGCTGTACCATCTTGGAGAGCAAGTTGCAAGTTTAATTATAAAAGCCACAAGTGGAGGAAAACTGGAAAAGTTTTGATTTCCTTCTGAAAGGTGGGCACATTAGTAATTAGACTACAAATCTGCCAGCTGACTCATAATGGTTTTAAAGCAGTCATTTTCAGTTAAGTTATTGCTGTCTAGTGCCAACAGAGTGAATACACAAAAGGCCTCACAAAGTAAGGCTGTTGCTGAGACATGTGACCTGTAATCCTGCTCGTCCAACAATCCAGTTGCTTCACAACATAACAAAAATCCTCAGAGAATATTTTCAAATGAGCCAAGCCTTCCTGCTACGACTAGAAACCTTTATCAAAATTCTGTCAGAATACAAAATGAAAGGACAGCTCTTAGTAAGGGATGAGAAATTATTTATACTCCTGCTTTCTGGGTGTTACTGCCAACCCAGTGATATTCTCGCATGCACATCTTTCCATTTCTCCTCTTTCCAGTAGGCAACGAGGTCCATTCTGTCCTCTTCACCACAGAGAGCATACAGTGGTACAGTACAGACAACAACCAACTGTCTTAGGAAGGAACTACAATGACCTATACTGCTAAGAAAATTTTTCCTCCCTGCAAGGTTGTGTTGGGTTTGTGGGGGGGGCGTTTTTGGTAGTGGGGGAAGG